TGCACAAGCAGTGGGAGTGGTTAGTCGATACATGGCAAATCCTGGTAAAGAGCATTGGAGTGTCCTGAGATATGTCAAGGGTACCTCAAATGCTAAATTATGTTATGGAGGATCAGATTTTGTTATAAGGGGCTATGTTAATTTAGATTATGCAGGTGATCTTAACAAAAGCAAATCCACCACTGGATATGTGTTTACTCTTACTGGAGGAGCTGTAAGCTGCGTTTCGAAACTGCAGTCTATTGAGGCTACTTCTATAACAGAAGCAGAATACGTGGCAGCTACACAAGCTAGCAAAGAGGCAATCAACAAGAGAAGATTGCTCTATTTTGTGATAGTCAGAGCGCTTTGCACCTAACAAAGAATCTAGCATTTCATTAAAAGACAAAGCACATTCGAGTTCAATATCACTTTGTTCGAGAAAAAAGTGGAAGGAAACGTGGATATACAGAAAATCCATACAGAGGACAACCTAGCAGATATGATAACAAAGCAAATCAGTACTAACAAGTTTACATGGTGTCGATCCTACATCGGCCTAACAGAAACGTAAGTAGCATGAAGATGGCAAGTGTATAGAAAGGATAAAATTTGTATACCAAAAGTAATTGTAAGTGGGAGAAATGTTGGAATAAAGCCACTTTGTTAGACTAAAGAGGCAACAATATCTTCACCATTTTGCTGCAATTGTTGACTTAGGCATGTTGCATGGATTTAACATTGAAGAAAAATGCACGAAGTTGACAACAATTTCTTGTGTGTTGAATTTCTACACTGCGATTAAATGGACACGGAGAGATTTTCCTATAAATAGATGGCCAAGGCTGAAGGAAGGAACAAGGAAATTGACAGGAATTGAAAGCGTGGGTAGAGAAAAAAATTGTTTTCTCCTGAGTGTTTCCTATTTAGTTTCTTCTATTACAAGATAGATTAATTATTGTTATCTTCTTGTATCTAGAGAGTGTTATTGTAATTCTCATACTATTGTGAAATCCTCCTATACTTGTTCTTGGGCGTAACCTAAATTGGGTGAACCACGTAAATATTTGTGTTAAATTTTTAGCCGTATTTTCTCAATTCCATTTTCGTTGCAAGCCAAACTTGACCCATATTTTCCTAACATTTACTAGGACTTTTATTTCTTCCCTTCTTCATTATGCAATTACACTATTCTCTGAGTTTTATGTTATAGTCAAGGGACTGAAATATTCAATGCCCAACTCTGAACAGAAGTAATTCGTTATCCTGGGCAATGATAGCCGGGAAAATTGTCACATCAATCACATTAGTTTCTCGAAACAGTCGACTTTATCTTGACACTGGAACTCTTAGAAAAACCTTGTATAAAATGAATTGTAGACCACTGGCCTCTTTTTTATAGCTTTAAACCAGGAGTTTTTTGTACTAGCAGGGTGGGAATGAGAAGCTGTGCCCCTGTGTGATAACTCTGCTATTTAGGAAAGGGGGGAAGGTGAAGGGATTGGATTAGAACCTTTTGTAATATCCCTTCCCTTTTTGTGGGGGAAAAGAAAACTCAATTTGTTGTGTTTCATTCCAATTAAATAAATGGTGAAAACAGAAGTACAAAAAAAAAGTACATAAAACTTGTTAATATGAACAAGGTCTGTTAAAGCCGTTTCTCTATCTATGATCTTGACACTGGAAATACAGAACTCTTGTAAAATAAGTTGTGGAACTACGCCCTTTTATTAACTGGGAAGGTGTGGAACCTCAATGCCAAATGTTTCATTCATATTGACTAATAGGAGAAGACAAGAAAAAACCAGGCAGCTGAACTTGTTTTAGAATGATGGTCGGATGAACTGATGAAGTCATTTCTTTGTCTGTGACTTCCGTGAGGTCATCAATTTGGATAACCATCTTTTAAATTAGGAATAAAAAAATTAAGGGTCTGCATTTATCTTCTCGTTTTTCTTGTTGTAACAGTGATGCTAGCTTATGCATTTGACATCTTTTAATTAGAAATAAACAAATTAAGGGTCTGCATTTAGTTTCTTGTTTTTCTTGTTGTGATAGTGCTTCTAGCTTATGCATTTGACTGCCAAAGTGCGTTTACTTCCCGAATTATTTTGTTTACGAGCTCTAGTCGGTCCCATGTAGATGGCTAGCTTATGCAATTATGGCTCTTCAAATTTAGTGGCGTCTGCTATGTGGTTCGATGAAATTTTCAGCTTCTACTTTTTTTTATAATTTTTTTTTTTTATACATTCAGTATAATATAAATTGTGTGTGTGTGACACATATATCCTCACTGTATAAAGGGTGTTGACCAGTAAAAAATTACTTCTAGGGTGTTGACAATCCATGGATCCAGTGATAAAATTGTCCATATCGATGATGCCAAGGAGTTTGACAAAGTCATAGCGAACCACAGATTACAGATTATAAGAGGAGCTGGTCATGGATACACTTCTCACCAGGGTAAATTAGCTTCAGCAATGCTGAATTTCATCAAGGAAGCCCAGCTATGAAACCTTCAAATGGCTCTTTGTGCATATCTACACTTTCATCCGTGTCTTGTACATATATTAATTATATATCGACCCTGGCATACTTAATAAGCAATGCTGTGTGTCTAATTCTGTGCATCTGTTTTATTATTTTTGAAGACTGAATTAGGTTTATGTTGCGGATTGATGTGTAAATATTGACGATCCTAATTATGTATATACGATGCTGTACAAAAATGTACATTGATAAGGGCGTTTTGCACACTTATTTAGGTCACAAAACATGGACTATAGTCGATAGATATGTTGAAATATGGCTTAATTCGATATAACCTGCGTTTGTAGGACTACATTGATGGATGGAATGAAAAGTGTGCGAAANCGAAACATATTTTCGTGAACATACATTATGCTTGAGTCAGCAGTTATGGCTAAATCATCCTGTCAACTCACAATGTTGGCTTTAATGAAGGAATTCAAGTGGAAGTATCGCGATTATACTTGTTCAATGATATGACCTACCAGATATGTCCATCAAGAGCTCCATTACCAGCTCCTAGAAATTTTGATATGCCGATAGCATGCTCATTGAAATCACCAGATTATTTCTGTTCGACGTCTTTGACCAGCAAAGCTTACTATGAGTGTGTTGGTACCTGTAATGCAATGAGCTACAATGTTTATATGAATACCTGAACTTGATTTCAAAGGCAGCCAGATGCTGCTGTATTCTCTCAACCAACGAAATGTACGGGCCATTTACAAATAATATAATGAAAAACCTGAATAACATGAGAGGTCTGAACTTCCCTCACTATTGAAATAAAAGGTAAATCACTTAATACCCACATATACTCCAACATCCCTCCAAACTCATAATAGGTGAACCATATCAAGTTTGTCCTGAAGTTGTCAATATTGAGTATGTTAGGTTTTATATGTTTTGTAATTGATGATTCTGTAAAAAAAAAGAATGGATTGTACTATGTTTAAAAAGTCAAGGAGTAATGTGCAAATAGTTGAAAATAGGGTTATTAGGTCTAGGATTCGAGAATGGCAAAAAAGAGGAAAACGACGCGAATTTTTGGTAGACTATCACTAAGGTTTGGCTCGAACTCGTGGTGGTAATTGAGTCGAGTGGCTCGTCGGCTCGTACTGTAGCAAGCCCGAGCCCGAGCAGAGCCTGCTCTGCTCGTACTGTAGACGAGCTTCTCTCTACGAGCCCGTGAGCAGCTCGGCTCGTGGGCTCTTTAAAAAAAACAAAAAATAAATAAATTGGCAAAAGCAAAAATTCAGTGACCAGAACGGCTACTTTAATTCAATGACCAGAACCGGTCACTGAATTNNNNAATGACCAGAACCGGTCACTGAATTATATATATATATATATAAATTTCTTTTTTCATATTTTTCTATAAATACTCACTCCCTAATCAACATTTTTCCACCAATCCTCTCATTATCTACTCTACTCTTTACAATTTACAATTAATCAACATTCAATAGTATCATTCATTCATTCTATAATCATCTTATCAACTTCATCTTCTACATTTTTTTAACATTATTATCTTAATTTTACTTTTATAATTCATTTTTTACACTACTACATAATCTTCATTCACTTCTCAATTCTACATTTCTATTTTCTACATTCTATTTCAAATCTTCAACATTCAATTTCTATTATTAACAAATGGATCAACGAGCATTTGTTGAAAACTTGATCGGTATGGAAGACGAAATATCTGCCCAAAATCAAATTGGGAATGAATTCGTCGGTCTCAATGAATT